TTTATCATTTCTAACAGGACGCGTAATTGATAAACCACAGAGCTTTCTCCACGATCAAAGTCTACCTGGCCTGCTATTGCTGCATGCCCAATGTGGGTTTGAGGGGTTAAGACGGCCGCCCAGCATCCTCTGGTCTGCCGTTTTTATGAAGGGAAGCACGCAGGCTCCTTCCTCGTTCCAGGTCCTGGTGGCCCCCTATGGGCAAAACTTGACAAGTGGGTTTTAGATGGGCTCACACACACGCGCCCCCCCCCCCTCGAGCCCCATCTTGAACCCCTGGAAGGAGCTGAAACTAGAAGCACCTGTCACTCAAGAGCAGTGCTGTTACTGGCCCTGGCATCCGCCAAGCCGAGTCAGTGAGCATCATGCGCGCATCCTGTACATCCTTCATGCAACCTCAGTTCGCCCCCCGAGGGTGAACGAGAGGTGTTGCTGAAGCCAACTGCCTGCTTTATACCTAGAGGTGGTCCCGTTCATGTACCCCCATTGACATTGAGGCTATTCCTCCCGCCCTGTGTCCCTCCGGGGAACAGCAGCCGAATTTGCTAATGTCCAGTCCGTCGCTTTTAACGCACCTTATATGGAACAGATCAATAAGAGTTTCGTCACAAAATGACAAACTCTTTGTGGTCCTGGGCTAACCCCAAGAAGGGCCAAGCCTGTTAGCTAAGCAGACGGCCTCTCTCCACCTGGATTGTGGAGAAATTGCTTTGGCTTACACGAGTCCAGGGTCTGCAGGCACCTTCGGTTGCCGTGCTCAATTCGACTCCGTGGTCTGGCTAACATCCTGGGCTTGTTCAAGGGTGCTTTGCCATCCAAGACATGTGTTTTGCAGCAAGCGGAGCTGGTCCTCGCCGCCTACCTTTTGCCCGGCTTTTACAGATAAACGTCCTCCTGCTCCCAGTGTGGCCTCATGCAGTTGCTGGGGCCCCCCTGCTTGAGTTAGAGGCTCTAACTGTAAAATCTGGTTGAGTTTGGTGAATTTTCGAGATAGAGCCTCGTCCGGCAACTACGGGAGCCAACAAATACCACATAGTGAGACATCGAACGGAGTGCTACGAATGAGAACTATAGGTTACCTTAATGTAAACCCCAGGGGTTCTCAGAGTAACATGAAGTTGAGATGTCCCTCACCAGAACGCCCTCCTTGCTATGGTGAAGCGAGAAGAGGTGCTTATTTTTGAATGATGCATGCGGCGTAGCGCAAGCTACTTATAGGGGGTAGATTCCCTGACGCTGACGTCAAGATCACCAGCCAATCAGAATTGGCGTAATGAGATTGATGCTTCTGTTTGCTCCGCGATGAGGCGCATCCCATAGTGAGACATCTCACTTCATGTTACTCTGAGAACTGGGGTTACATAAGTAACCTATAGTTTTCATACATCAACACAGGCTCACTATTTGGCAAGATGACTAATATTGGCTACTCAGCGAGAATCAACTCAGTGAGCAACAGATACCAAGGATGCTGGCTGATGAAGGCAGTTTCTCAATGTTTTTTCACTATTTCAAGTATACTACGTCATCGAGTGGCGCCGAAGGACTGTTTAGATGCATGTTAAATGCCCAGCATTCGGCGCCACTCGATGACGTAGTATACTTGAAATAGTGGCTCTGCAGCAGGTATACTCAACATTGAGAAACGGCCGAATAAGACGAAGTAAGCTAGGTAGCCAATATATGGCTTAGCAGTACATATAAATGTGGGCTCACTATTTGGCAAGCAACCGGTCACAGTCGGCCTGTTTATGTCATGTCTTATAAAAGCTTATTAATAATCAGTAAAATGACAATGCCAGCATTACTTTCATGTGCGTGTTTGATATTTTTATACTTTTTGTGCAGATTAAAGAAATAACATTATTTTATTAAGTGTCAGAGGAGCTGGTGCATGGACCTTTGTTGCTTTGCAAGCTATTTCCCCCCATGTTTTATGTTTATGCTAAGCTAAGCAAATCGACTGCAGTTCATTTTTAGCATGCAGACATACAGTATGAGGGGTATCAAAGCTCTCATTTAACTCTCTGCCAGAAAGTGAATAATTCCTTTAATGATTACACTAAGATGGTTCAAAGGGCTGTCTTGGCAGGAACTGTCTTTTCACTTTGCTAAACACTCCAACAGCTGATGGGGAAAAAAGAGCATCAGCTTTTTTAGCTTAGGCCAAATCATTCACTTTAATGGCAGGTCAGAGAGGACAGCACATACAGTACTGCACACACATTCAGTAATTACCCAGCACTAATGCATCAGGAGGGCTGCCTTTCTGAAGTGCAAACATAATTTGTGTTAATGTTTTTATCTATTTTTATTCACAAGGACACACAGGAAAAAAACACTCCATATAACAAGAGAACTAGGTTTTGTATGTGTTGCTTCATAGGTGCTAATTAGTTTCCCTGAACAGATAAAAGGAGCAAAGGGGAAACTAGGGGAAACAAATTAATGACCATTAACACTAGTCCATTGGAGTGGTGGTTTCACTTAAAGACCAGCCTTTTAAATTCACTCGGCATGATTAAAAACACGCAAAAGAAAAAGCAGTGAAGTTCATTACTTTAACATTATTTAACAGAAGATATTGGAGTATTCTATTCACACATCTGTATGGTGGAAAGTAAAGCTTTCTCTCTTCACCTTCAAGATGTCCTGTATTTGTATCTCTGTCCCCTGCAGAGTTCTCGAGGGAAAGTCTCTCAGAAGCTGCTGTGGGGCTCGAGTGCCCCCTCTCCAAGGAGAAGGAGGATTGTTCCAGCCTTGCCAACGTAGCAGATCCCTCCTCACAACACATCAACGTGCAAGCAGGTAGAGTAAAGAGCCACCTTTACACAGGAACAGTTTCCCTAAGGGGACTCTTCATCATCTGTTCACTAGGCAGGGTTTATACTTATATAGATATGTAAACAATTCAATAGGCTTGGCTTGGTGTAATGTAATCACGGCTTGTCGACAAACATCTGTGGAGTGGCTTTGATCCACACTTCACAAAGCCCTGCTGTGGCTGAAATACCCCCGGGAGGCAGCTCATACGGAAGTGGAACAATGTGTTAGCGGGGACTGATCTGATACTGTGGGTTTACTGTCTTTACTGTATATTTAGTTTGTTTCTTGACTTCTTTCTCTCAATATATGTGGCCTATAAACAAGAAAATTAAGTTTGTTATACAACAAATTAGTGCGTAACACAGTCTTGATTCAACTACAATGTTTGTACTATAAATCCCAGCCATAATTGTCGCCATAAATCTAAATTATGAATAATGACGAACACACAAGTCACTTCATAAATAAGATTGAATGCAGGATATGACGCAAAGATCTGTCCAAGTTCAAGTGAAATGCCAAAAATACTTCCTTCTACTGTAAAGTCAAAATAAATGATGTATATGTAGTAGTAGTAGTAGTAGTAGTAGTAGTAGTAGTAGTAAAAACAAGAAAAGGAACGGAAAGTTTACTTTTCTCATCAATTGGAGAAACAACTATCCCTACTGTAGGTAGTAGTATATGAATATATTAAGACTTAATATATATATCATAAAGTCTTCATAAATAGTAATTGTTTAGCCGCAAGACTCCAATAGATCCCCCACATCAGCCACTTGTCTTTATCATATTGCCCCTAAGTGTTTTATGTCTCTGTCTATTTTTGCAGACACAAAAGCAGCAGCATCCAGTGTGAGTCAGCCAGCAGAGGAGAAGATAAAGAAATGCAGCCTGGAGAAAAAGAAATAGAGCGGTCTTCTGCACAACACAAAGATGCTCGGGCTGCTCAGCCAGCCGACACAATGACAGAAGATTGTGTCTGCAGATCCACTCTCTAGATACATCAGGGCATCCATGTTCCTCTACAGTCAGGCCTTAGTAACCACACCAAGAACAACAACAAAGGTTTCAAAAATTATTTTGTGTGACGTATTTAATTAAAATCTATTTGTTTTAGCTTCCCCTTCACTGAACTAAAACTAGCTTACTGTATCTAGTTAATTAGAAAGAGACACTTTTGCGATCTCAGTCCAATATTCAATTTCCTTAACTTCTACACTCACATGCATTATGTCCCCTTTAATGTTCAAATGCAACACCTTTTCTGTTTGCAATTTAAAAAAATGGTTACATTCAAAGCAATACAAATGTATTTGAACCTCATAAATAACTGGGACCGAAACCAAAACATTGAAAATTCAACTGAAGTGATTTAGTGAGGTAGATGCTGAATCTCCAGTGAGTGGGTATAGGCAACATCTAGGTTGGTTGGCAGTTTAATGAAAACATATTTACACATGTGTTCACACTACTGTATTGGTAACACTGGAATACAATTGCATGTTATTTTTTCTGCTACAGCATGTACTGTAGAGCTGCAAAGATTGGTCAATGCACTGATTGACAGAAAATGTATGGGTAACTATTTTGATAAAAGGGCATTGATTGACTTTTTAAAAGAATAAATGCAGACTGCTGGTCCAACAATATAAATACATTTGAACTATAGGGAATTTTGAGAGGCATTTTTCACTATTTTCTGACATTTCATAGATAAAGCCATTCATCATGAGAATGATCATCAGAAGCATCGAGCCTTGTAACCCTAACAGCATTGCACATCTGCTTAGTTTCCTGTGCTTAATTAAAAGAAAACAGAAACCTGAATGGAGAACTTGATACTTTTGTATAAGTGTGTTGGAACACGGTTCATTCAATCATCAATTAAAGTCAATGGGGACCTTGTTTCAATACAGCCGATCAAATCTCTTCATTTTAATCCCTATTTGCATAACGCATTATCAAAATAACCATAAAGCACCCTGCAACACAAAACAACCACCAAAACCTTGAACTACATACAGTTTCCTGCAAAACTCCCCATAACATACAAACATGAATGCATGTCTGACCCTAAACCAGCAGCTTGTTGAATGAGCGACCAAACAAATATTCACAGTTGAGAAGAGCACTGCCATCGCTAGTTTGGAGGTTAGCATGCTATTAAGCCGCTCAGCTGCAGCACATTAAACAGCATGTAAACTTACTTTCCTGGGAGTTTCCTGTCAGATGCTGGAGTTGTCCTTGCAATGAAGCCTGGGCGTTAATCTATCCATGGTTATTTTCCAGCACTGCTGCCTACAAATCTGCCCATCACATGTAGGCTAACATTTGTTTACTTGTTGTCTGATGAGGTCACCTGCTAACTGCTGTCAATCACAAACACACGCCCCCATCTAATGAGAGGTAAAGTCGGACTTTTATGGACTATCTTATATTTATCCCAAAGACCTTTGAAAAAAATTAACTATTTACTACACGACTAAAAAACTGAACTTGTTAACATTATTTCTGACTGCAAACAGGAATACACATAAGTGATTCCCGTCAGACTTCGAAGGAGGACATATTAATCTATGCTAATATCCAATTAACATAATATCTGGTTAAAGTAGCTATCACACTCCTAATACAAGACTTTTACCAGCAACTGTGTAGTTGTAAACTTCTAATAGCTTTGGACAGAGGGTTGAGTCTACAGATATGCTTACGATTTATTTTAATTTTAACTTAGCATCATCAGTGAGCAAATTGTATCATCATATTTGACACTTTTTGGGGAAATGAGAACCTGGTCACAAAACACTTTCCTGCATGGCACTGAATGTAGAGTGACTTTATTTAATTTTTTTATTGTACTATTGTTTTGAACAGGCCATTTCAAATGCCAATCAAGCTTAAAAAATACAAGACACAAATTGTAATTACCAGCATTCCCTTTTCATTCTAGTTTTTTATGAAACAAGAACATTATAAAGTCATCACCAAACTCTTACATCCTACATGTATTTCATCAGTTATTTGTTAGCACATAGTGACATTATTATGTAGAACTTGTGACAATCCTTCCATGACATGGAACATAGACATGCCTAAAAGAAAGAAAGAAAAACTGTTAACAAACAGTAAGCTAATGCCACCCTAGTATTGATCACAACAAGCCAATGATCACAATGACAAAATGATTTAAAAAGATGGTAAAAACATTCCTGTGCAAGTTATTTTCTTCTTCTGCAGTGTATTTATGTAATGTTTTTGTTTGTTTTTGAATGGTAATAATGTAATATGTAATTGTTCCAATTTTACTTGAAATTATTGATGATTACATATGTAATCTACATTTGTTTGATACAATAAAGTGTTTAAATTGGTGATTGGTGGTCTTTCTCATACTTATTTACTTATTTTGGTAAAGTCCATGGATTTTGCATCCAGTCAAGTTAAGAGCATGCTTGAAATCTTCAGCTTACAAGTCACGAGTGTCAAAAGACCATATACCATGATCCGCTTTCTTATTAAAACATCAAAAAGAGATATGTTCGCGGAAAGTCTTTAAGAATTTCAAGTTAAACTTACAGTGTCTCACATCACTGCACCACTGGTCATGTGTTTTACATTGACTGTATACTAAAAATAGACACTCTGACAATAAATAATTCAGTGACTCAGAGTTGGGAGTTAAAAACACATACATTTTTCATACAGAGGGCTGGTTCTCACCAAAATATGTGTACACTGCTGAAAGGTAGGCTATATTGGACATCAGACCTTTACGAGGTTAATCACTTACATTGCACAGTTTTTCTCTGACAAGAGGATACTCTGCAGCGTGTCCTGACTGTCAAAGCAGAACGTTTAAGTTTTTATTAATTTTCTATGTCAAATTGAAAGACACTTCTATATTGGCACCAAATAAAGGCTATCACACATGCTTTGTTGCTTTTGTAGTCTGATACTGTTTAGACAATATGGAAAGTGCAAGTTCAAAGTGACACTATTGATCCATTTCACTGTTTTGCATTTATATATTACATTACATGTCATTTTGTAATATAGCTAGAGGTGTTTGTTTGTTGCGGGTCAGGGTGCAAGTGTGTGTATGGGGTGTACATTAAACAGTGGTATCACACCTGTGTCTTTATTCCTTGTGGTGCTATTCATTTTACAGCCAGACTTTTCATTTAAATGTGGAACAGCTTCATCTGTCTGTACTGTCCTAAGATGAAAAAAGCTGGAGATGCAATTGCAAACTGCCTAACTGACAATTGTTAAACTTGGGAAATGTGTTTGAAGCTGATCTCATTGGGCGACCCTGCAGTCACTTCCCTCATTTGCTCTACAGCTCCTCCAGCTGGGAGAGCAGAGCACTGGAGTCATGCCACACCAGGAATGTGAGAGAGGGGCGCTTGATAATACTGCATGAATTACAAAGTCAAAGAAGGGTCTTACTAAAAACTATTTTATCTTGCATAAGGTGAAGTATGAGATCAAGGCATTGGATGGATTTGGAACTTTATAGTCAAAAAGTCTTGATTCATGCTACATTTATTTGAAAGATATTGATCTCTCCCTTATTAGACCGCCACAATAATAGAAATGCAGAACAGGTTTTGGAAAGAGACTTTAAATAACCAAAAACTTGTCTTTCTTAAGTTTTAAAGTGTTTCTAAAGTTACTGAAGTGTTAGGGCAATAGTAGATAGTAGTAATAATAGTTTTGGGGTGGTTGAAAAAGCCATTGAATGTACTGTAATTATCTTTTGGAGGACACAGAAAGGTAAAGGAAAATAATGAAAGACTCCATTATTTGACCCATTTAAAATGTTCTTAATAGAAATACAAGGCACAATATCGCACCATGAAAAGGCCAGCCTTTATTGGGTTGTTTATTCTGTACACACTACATTTATTGTATGTATGTTTGTCAAGGAAGAGGAAACACCCTGTAGTTGCTCTCCCTAAGGTTGTTTTTTAAATGTTTCACTTGTTTATTGGTGTTTTTACTGTTTCCGCTGCGAGGGTCTACGCACAGAGAATGTTGTTTGCTGTAGAGATTGTAAAACACCTAGTGACACATTTCTTTTTGTAATGTTAAGCAATATAGTTAAAGTTTGCTTGAATTGATTGATTATAACAAATCAAAACTTCACATATGACAGACATCGGCATATTTTCAATATTATTCTTTAATTAATAACATGATTTTATAATTTGTGTACAGTTCAAACTAATAAAGGTACAATGTTCCTTACAAGTGTATAGGTGGCAAATTAATTTATTATAATGCATGATACTGTATAACATGGCCAGCATGTACACTTTACATTTAAATTATCACAGTATACTTCACTTGAAATAAGACACCAAGACATTTGTTTGAATATATTGCATCTTACCTTGGGAAGACGATGTTAAGCCTAAACCAGCCCTCCTCTAGCTCCCTAAACCATGATATAAGAAGGCTTTGTGGCTTTGTAATAAACAGTGACTCAGCATTAATCTCAGTTAACCTATGATAAAAGCAGATATCACAAAGAAAGTCCTCTCTACTGTTCTGAATCCGTAGTGGGGTCTTGCAGGGAGTTTTCTGACAGCTCCTCTTGCCTGGATCTCTGCCCTTTTGTCACACTGGGGTCTGAAAATCCTGGAGGATATAAGAGATTGGAAAAGTCATTGGAAAATGTTGTTAAGCTGAACAGGAAACAATATCTGTACCTATTCATCTCCTCATGAGATCACTTTGACATGAGTGTTGATAACAAATCAGATCAGGGCGACTGACCACATTCATGGAGCTGAGTGGCTTTGTCTCGGCCAAATCAGTCACACAAGGTCTTGTACTTTAGCGGAGGTTGTCCAACTTTTCACAGGTCATCAATTCATTTCAAACGAGAAAAGGAGAAAAAGATATTTCTCAGGATTGTTAAATCGTAAGCCCTGTAGTGATAGGTGTGACTTAACAGAGTGCATACACATTCATAACATAAATGATTGAATAAACAACATACCATTGGAGCCACTCTCCTTCCATTTTAGCTTGTTGTCTTCGGTGTGTCGTGTCCAGGTGGAGCGGAAGCTCACCAGCTCAGCTGTGATGTGAGCGAGACTCCACTGCAGACCCCTGGAGCTCTCCTTCCAAAGATTACTGTTGACAAAATACAGTGCGGTCAATTTCTGTTTAAGTTGTATCCATATTCATCTACCCATATACAAGTTTTCTGGCTGGCTCCAGAAAGAAACTTGAATTTCAAAGAGTGACAGTTGACCATTTTTGCAGTTATAATGGTGGTCTTTAGAGTCTTTCCTTTTTGGGCCATACATTGCAATATCACAAATGGGACAAACTGGTAGCAATGGTGTGCAATGAGCAACCAGTACAATGCTTCTCTGTGTGTACCTGTGTCTGTTGCAGGGGTCTTGTGGGCCTGGGTTCTCCTCTACCAAAGGAATAACAATCTTTTCAGCCATGTCAGTCAGTAGAGAGAATGTGGGATACACTATGAAGTCTATGAAACCTGCAAGACAAAATGTCCATGTATCAACAGGAGAAAAATAAATATTTCTGAGATTTTAAAATATGATTTAAAAAATGTAATACAGTCTTTTATAACATATTTCACAGCAGTTCCAGTTTGACTTTATCAAACAGAAGTATGGATGTTGAAAAAAATCTCTCTTATATAATATTAGTGAGAAGAAGACTGAGTGAGAGTGAGTGTTTTGTGAGACATACCAATCTGAGACTCGGCTACCAGGGTACTTTTTCGATCGCACAGAGGAGAGAAGGGCAGGCCGAGCTCTGCCTCTCTATCACCCTCACAAAGATAGAAAGAGAGAGAGAAGATATCTTAAAGGGCATCCCACACATGAACTGAAAATAACTTGTAAAGGTTATTGGACTCCAACACTCCCCACCTGAGACTTTTAAAGCTACCATGCTTTTGTTTCTAAAAATAATAGAACAAACATTAAAGTGCCTTTTCAGAGTGGTTTGAAAGACAAAAGGCTGCCCAACACCTCCTCTATTCTATTTTTCAAGCTGTCAAAAAAGAGGAGAGAGGACTTTACATAGAAATGTATTGCTGCATTAACTGGAAATCAACTCAAGACTTCAAAATCAGGTTCACAAAACCAGCCACTATATGGCAAAAATCTGTAGGCTGGTATGATAATAATGGCATTTTTAAAGGTGATAAGAACACATATTTATTTTATTCTGTGACTCACAAAACACTCCTGGTTTAATGATGGCAACTTATGCTGAGCAGAAAAATCAGGCCAACAGTTGCACACATTTTTTCAAATGTATCCCGAACAATAAACCAAAAGCCTTGGGGTAACCAGGGAGATTGCTGCATCATGCTTCATTTGATATCTATCACAACTCAAAAGTACAAAAATGTTTTCAAAAGATCTCATCTCAAGATTTATTGAGTGAATGTTCTGGAGCAACAATCATTTCACCGAATCGATTATCAGTGGATTTTTTCTCCAGGCTTTAATCTTTAAAGAAAATCTATTGTAGCCTCAACTTCAGGAGGTACCTGTTCAATAAACTTTTAAAAGAGACTTATCTCTCTCCGTCTCTGCTACATACCTCAGGTGCTATTTTTGCTGTACATACTGTATACTGTATAGCTCTGACGTGTTAAACATCTTTGAAGGTTTCCCGCTCTCCCTTTCAGGCTTTGCTGAGGCTTTTACAAAATTACACAGTTATTAGTAGCAGTCCAACATCTTCAATCAAGGTAGTAAAATAACAGATCAAACTCTCCAGAATAGAAAAAGTTGGACATGAAAGAACAGAGTATGTGAAGGGAAAACCTCTCTGTACAATACCTCACAAAACGTTCACAGCGAACCTTGAACTGTACTAACGAAAAACACTTAGGCTACAATAACTCAAAAGCCATCTGTAGCACAAAAGATAGACCTACTAATGTTGGTCTTCAACTTCAACCAGGACGGGAGATCATACATTGTGTCAGTTGTATTTTACACAATTTTAAGTTATTTATGTAGTTCAGTCAGACAACTCACGTGTTTCTTAATATGTTTATTAGAAGCAGCATATAGTTTGAGTTTGGCGTCTAGGCTCGGGCCTCATCACTCCACAGATTTACAAAGAGCATTAAGTGATGATTAGATAACTATAGGCCTACCACTTTCGCAGTTCATTTACTACACATACTGATCCAATACTGAAACAATAAACTGACAGTGGCCACTCTGCATAATAACTATTATAACATTACATGTTAAATACAATTATTTTGCTGATATTTGGGTACTTTCACTTTGAAGTTCGAAAGCATGACCTCTACTTGTAATGGAGCATTTTTATACTGCAGTATTTCTACTTTTACTTAAGTACAGTAAGTGTTCGATAATTTTTCCACTGAATCTAATCATTGATAATACTTGCACGAGAAAGCGTCACAGCATCAGTTCAGGTCTGTTAGCGCTCCTACCTGCCTGAAGAACTCCTCCATCAGGGATTTGGTCCAGCGAGAGTGCAGCACCCAGGGCTTGGATGGATGGCTGATGTCGGCCGTGTGCAGCAGCAGAGAAAGTGCTTTGGGCTTGTCAATTCTGTCGGAGGAAATGATGCACTTCTTGTTTTAGTTTTCTCAGACATGTCGTTAAAAGGAAAAAGAAGAAGACTTGACACTTGCTGGGAGGAAATCAATTTGCCACTTGGTGAAGGTTGTTTGAATCATCTGAACATGTTATTTCATGTGACCTCTTAAATGTGCACCACAGCACAACCCATTAGCGTTACCGTTCTTGTTGCTGAAGACAGGATTTCATCCCTTTGACTTGGAGCAGGTGGGAGGACATGTCCGTGGACAAAACCATCTCAATGACAAGTGATCGCAGCTCCCTTAACAGCAACACACACAAAGACACACAGTTTAGCATTTGATCTAGGATGTAAATGTACAGAGGTTAGCCTTTTTAGATTTCGTGAGGAATTGTACTGTTCCCATGGTAACGCTGACTGCTAGAAAAAGCCTCACTTCAGTGTGATGCTGGTGTTTATCTTGAGGGATCCCTGCAAAGCGATGCCATTACATTAACAGTCACATATTGTATCTGAGATGAAACATCCTTCTCAATGAGTATGCAAAAACTGTTTAATACGTTTATATTTTCTGACAAACTGAATTTTAAGGGCAGAAATAGCATGTTTACATAAAAAGAAAACATGGGTAGAAAGCACGCTGATACCAATATTGATCCATCAAAATTGAATTTCTTATTATTATTGATTGTTAACATGCATTACGTATGACATTGCTAAAGTAAATTATAAAACACAATGATGTAAGCTCACTGCAACCATGTAAATGGTTGCATGAGTAAATACTACATTTGCCAGGAACTTTCAGCTGCTGTGAATATTAACACGATACAGCAAATCCTATTTAAATTAGATTTGTTGATAATAATAAACATTTAATACATCATATACAGTATATTATAGACTTTTTTAAATAATGTGATCACTAGTTTCTTTTTAAATAGCTTCCATCTTACTCGCTGCACAAAGTGTTATGATTTGCTTCCTTGTTGTTATTGTGGGAACCTTGGGAGGTTGTTGGCCCACATCTCTCATCTCTTTCTTTTTCAGTGAGTGAGTTGTCAAATTGCTCTTTGACAAAAAGCATGGTTGGTTACATTCAGTTATTTAGTTAGTTATATACAGTGGGTTCTCAAAGAAAACTCGACATGCCATTTGTTCAAAATGCATGCTGGTCTATTGGGTTCATTTAAACCGCCTTTTCTATGATGGGTTTCTCGCTGTTTTTATCATTGAGGATCATTGAGATATTTACTGTTTTAGATGGCCTAAAAGATCCCATGGCTATCAAACTTCATAGTCCTATTGTTAAAGAACTTAGTTTAACCACTTATCAACACAAACAATATAAACAAATGACAGGTCATTGTGTAAAGCATGATTAGAATATATAAAATGAAAGGGTTCGGTTTTATAATTAGATCTTTCATTTGCATAGTGATGGCTATATAATCCACCCTGAATGAAGCAATTCTCAAGAAAGTATTTGGTTAACAGTAATTGAAGCATATAGTTTGGATAAAACACTGAAGTTGTGCTTGCATTAGATTGGCACCCGCTGTTAAATTAATGCTTCACAATCAGTGCTTTATTCACTCTTGTGACACAAGCTCAAGCTGTGTCACATCTAATTGTATTAATGCGGCCAATTTAATCTTCTTTCTCCTGCTCCACACATCCCCGACTTCCTCCTGTGAAACTTCCTCTGATAGATTTTGGTTAAAAGTATTTTTCTTTATGTAAGATTTTCTTCAAAGAGTAAGTGGGGGTTAAGTCTTACCGACATCCTGCTTTCTTTAGCCATTTAAAACCAATTTTTTCCAGATCAGCTAACTTTTTTTAATAAATGGAATGTCCCTGAACATGAGTGTTTCTAAATAGAACAAAAATGAGTTGTACAATTTCAGATAGTAAAAATAGTGTCCTCTTACATCCATTCCTCTCTTGTCAAATTAGTGAAGATGTTCATTCGGTCGTCCTGCAGCAGGCGGAACGCTGCACTCAGATGATGGCTTTCCTGTACCGACCGATCATTGTACATCAATGCAAACTCTGACCTGGTGGATAGATAGAGAACGAGCAAGAGACGAGGTGAAGAGAGAAGAAGAAGAGAGTTTAAAGAGTGACAGTTGTACAATTCTCCAGTGGTGAAGGGAGATGGAGTTGAGAATGAGATAAAAAGAGTCCTGAGGGGATATTTCCAGCACTAATGCTGTGGGTCTGTAATGATGCATTTAGAGAGCTGAAGATTGAGTAGGATTTCATATAAATGACTCAGTATATCAAGTTAATTAACTTATTTTCTCAATCAGGCATTCTGTGTCCACTAGTTTAATGGACTGTATTAGCCTTCTAAAATGGAAAACAAAGTACATAGTGAAAAGTTTTCCAATTAGTGATTATTTGAGTAAACTGAACATAAAATTCAACAGATGTAAAAATGTCTTTACAGAACACATTTAGTTTTGTGTTGAAATGGCCTTTTGGGGACTTTTAATAGATTGGGGAGAGAGAGGCCATGATCATTTTGAATTTGTCATGGTTGCAATTGTTTTTAATGACAACAATAATTTACTGTTGGAGAAAAATCCGTCAAGTAAAACGTTATTTTACAGACCTGTAATTTCCTGGATGCTTTTAATTTGAAAATGAATTGAACATATGTACCAAACAATGTTACCGTGGGGACATTGTGAACAAACAAGTTCCTAAATACATATAGTTTGTATTATAGGATGTGCGGTAGTTTCTATGATGTTTTTCAAATGTGTAAATGTGTGTATGGTGTGGCAATGTGGCATTGGTTAGATGTTAGCATCTTGTCGATCCTGTGAGGAAAGATTCATGCATAGTAAACATCTAGACTGCTATGAAGAAAAAAATGTCTAATAGTTGATGAACTTTTAAGCATAAAAACTGTTACACTAAGCCCCAGATATTATCCTAACTCTTTTCAAATGTATTTATAGAAATAAGAATATATGTATTATTTTTTATGGGAAACTTATATTATTATTAGTTTTCTTTTCTGCAAAATTGCATTCTTGCGCACAGTCAACAGGTCAAGCGACCTCCTGTGCATTGACTTAATGTGTCATCATAATAATAAGGTAGTAAGGAATGTATCAATTTATTAATATCCTATTATCTTTTGATCACAACTAAGAAACATGTTAAGTTATGGTTGAAGATTAATATTAATTTAGAGCCACTCATCAACTCCTTTTAAGGATTTTATTAAAGGTGGGGTAGGTAATTTTGGAGAAACCAGCTCGAGTGTGCTAGAATTTGAAAATACACAACCGGAAAAAATCTGCCACTTCCTTACAGAGACCCTCCTCCAA